ACTGGCCCTTCCTATTTTTGACCTCTCAAACCTTTTTGTATAGGCATAAATTTCCACCTGGTCCTTAGGAGCTACAGGATAGCTCTGTGCCTGTTAGGCAAGCTCTGGTAAATCAGAATTTACCTGAAGTTCTTCATCTGTTAGATTTTCTCCCAGCTCCTTGGCAACCCTTTTCAGGTTTTTGAATGAAATTTTTCCTGTCCCATCATCATCAAATAATCTGAAGGCTTTCAAGATTTCTTCCTGTGAATCCTTTTCGCTCTAAAACAAGAGCAAAACACGTGTTAATTAGAAAACTCCTGACTTCAAGCTGCTTATGCTGTCACAAGAATTTCTACTAAGAATTCCTACCATTTTTTGTGTCATCATGGCCAAAAAGTCTTCAAAGTCGATGGTGCCACTTCCTTCCTTGTCAATGTCTGCTATCATTTTCTTAATCTCTTCCTTCTTTGGCTCAAAGCCCAAAGCCCTCATTGCAACCTGCACCAAAAACCAGTTGTTAGAAGGCCACCAAAATTAAGTTGTAAGCAGCTGAGCTAAAGCTTGTTTCATTTCCTTGTCCAAAAATGTAATAACAATTCACTGCAATGAAAACACCTTGGTATCTCTTACCAGATTCTTTCATCTTTCCAAACAGAAATAGTGTAGGCTTGATATTCTGAAGATTATGTTCTTCCTACATGGTCTAGTGGAAATCCATAGTTAATTAACATTAGGCAGAAATTTTCCTGCTGAACACTTTTCTAATGGAAAGTGTCAATTCATCAGAAAATTGTGTTTTCTGACCAGTTCTTTGCAATGGGACAACTTGAAAAAGTTCCTTTTTGTTCATTTTAGAGGGCAACACTTTCTATTGTAAAATATCTACTGTTTTGAATTTATTTTGAAAAAGAAAACAGCATTAAATGGTTGATGCTAAAACAAGTCAGTCTCTTTTAAGAACTGTACTTTAACATGTATCATCTGCATTCAGGAAACACGCTGTCCTTAACCAAGTACTTCCAAGTAAATCCTGAGCTAAGCCACAGGCTTAGGTAACTCGTGCAGAAATTGAGGCAGAGTCTGTGTATGTGAGAAATCAAGGTCAGGGAGATAATTAAAAGGTTCACAGAGAAAAGGATAAGACACATAAAAACACAGGGAGAGAACTGAGAATAGTCCTCTCCCTTGTACTACTGGGTGTATGCAAGTGCACACACACTACGTGAATTGCTACTGAAATGAAACTCAGATCCCTCTTTTGCTCTTTTTTAAATTAAAAACCAGGTAATTTTTTGATTACATATATGCAAATGTGGTTGTAGCCTTCCTGAATGTGTGCAAAATGTGTGTTTAGTTCTGAGGTGAAGAAAATATTCGATATTCTGGCATTCATCCCAGAACAACAAAAGTCCATTTCCCAGAAACAACCATCTCAGTCATGAAAACTGAAATGTGTACTGCATGTACCTAAACACAGGAACTGTTTAGTTCCTCTAATGCTCAGATAGTTCCAAGTTATCAGACCTAAATATTCACATATGAGAGAAGCCTGTCTGCTCTGAAGCATTACATGCAGGGTACACCGCATAATACACCCCAAATTCAGTCATGACAGCAAGCCATTACTCTTGTTCATACTCCCAAAGTATTTTAAAGTAGGGCTGGACAAACAGAAAAAGCAGCTACAGTTTTAAGATCAAAGATATTTTCATACAAGGGAAAAAAAAAAAAGTTTGAAAACCTTCAGTTCTTTGATGTCGATGCTCCCGGATCCATCGGTGTCAAACAAATCAAAAGCTTCTCGGATCTCCTGCTTTTGCTCTTCTGTAAGTTCAGGCTTCAAGCCACTTTTCTTCCGCTGGGCTGTAGCTAAGCCAGGTTTTCTATAGTTGGATGCCTTCAGAAAGTAAGGGAGACAGCAGATAAGAAATTGCCCATTCCAGGGAGAATGCAAAATACATTAAATTATAAATAACAAAAGTAAAACCGTAGCAGAAGTGAGAGACATTCCTTGCTGCAAGTGGCAGACACTGGGGTCTCTATGCTCATTTCTTTGGTTATTCTAAAAAGAATACAAGCAAAGACTTTGTTCCTGGGAAATGTGCATTTGAGCTTCACATTTTTTGTTTTAAACAGAAGGAGTTTTGAAGACTGAAGGAGTAAAGCCAGGAGAACAGGCAGGCAGACTGAAAATGAACACCCCACTGAGGAGACTTAGGACCCTCTGTACCTCCTGTGGTGGCCTGGATGTGTCAGGAGTGGTTTCACCTGGAAAATGTGAGTCCATCATCCTCACAGCTAAAAAAGGTGGTTGCACAGGGTCCCGACTGTGAATGGCAGGCAAATTCAGCCACTCCTCCAAGCCAGCCCCGAGATGGGGATGTCCCAGAGCACCTGCTCTGAGGGAGCAAAGTGTAAAGGGAGCTGTGCAGCTCCAGGCTCCCTGTCCCCCGAGTAGGAGGGAGCTGTGCAACAACGTGTTCTGGGAGCAGCGAGATCAACACGAAATCTGTCCCTTAAGGAGCACTAATCTGCTTGTGCTGAGCTGGTACATCATTATCCAGGATAATTCTGAGACCTTTCCTGCCTCTAAGTGTGAACTGTACAGTACAGGGTCTGTGGGTCCCTCCCATCCACGGAGCTAGAAAGATGTTTTCCTCAAGTCTAGTTTCGTTTTTAAATCACCAGCAGACAAATTTTAGTCCTTCAGTCTGGAATCTGCACAGAAGGAAAGGCAGTCCCTCCCCTCCCCAGCTTCAATTGGTTGGGCTTCATAAAAGTAAATAAACACCAAGCAAGGAATTTGTTACCCAGCTACTGCTAACCACTTTCTTATCTCAGCTGAATTGGTACCATTTTCCTGGCTGGGATCACTCTCTTAAATTCTCAATGTGTAACACAGAAGATCCCATTTTCTTGTAGTTAACCGTGAAATTTCTTTTTTTTTTTTTTAACGCGATTTGTCCCTCCCAGGTTGGATTACAAAGCAGTTCGTCTGGCTTTTCCCTGCTATCGACACGAACATCAGATTTTTACCCTTTATATGCCGCTCTGGCAAAATCCCACTAGAGATCTCTTTCCTGACTATAGAGCCTTATCGTTCCCTCTATTCCAGGTCTGAGCTGTACAAATCCCTTCCAGGTTCCCGCTCCTGGCCTGGCCGGTGCCATCCCAACCTGCCACCGCGACAGCACGAAGCGGAGGAGCTCAGCGAGCCGTGCCCAGACGAACCAGGCATGTTCCCCCCGGCTTGCGGAGCGCAAGTGCCGCATTTTGCGAATCCCAGTGTTTTTTCGGGAGCATTTTCCATGGTGACAGAGCTGGGGGGGGGGCGGAGGTAACCAGGCGGCAACGGCGGCCTGGGTGGAACCTTGAGAGGGGTTTGCAGGTTGGCGGGGAGGCGGAGGGACTCGGGGGGAGTCGGCAGGTGGGAGAGGAGCCTGCGGGGGAAGGAAGGGAAGGAAAGAAGAAAGGAAGGGCGCGCTCACCATCCAGGCGGGGAAACCATCCGGGACGCGACCGGCGGGACGCAACCGCAACAGACACGCGCCCAGCCGATGCGGCCAATGGCGAGCCGGACGCGCGCCGGGACCCGCCCTGCCGCCAGTACGGCCAAGGCGCCGCACCGCTGCCCGTGATTGACAGCTGAAGCGCCGTGGGACCCGCCCGCGGAGCAGCGGCCGCCGGTCCAGGCAACTGGCGGTCCAGGGAGCGACCGGGAAGCGCCGGGAGCAGCGCACCACACCGTGAGACACCCCACCCGCACCCGCGACCCGAAGCCACCGGGCCGGCCCTCCGCACCGCGGAAGCGGCCGGGCCGCCGCAAAAGGCAATTGTTCCGGGGTGCCCGCTGCGTCTGCTCCAGGCTGCTTCCCCCCCTCCGGCGGTCCGGGAAGCGCTTCCTCTCCCTGTGAAGATTAGGAGATAGTGTTCAGGTGGACTTTCGCTGAGTGGGGTGGAAACATGAGCTTTTTGGATTTTGGACTAGCTGCGCCGAGGGGCCTTCAGGGAGACGGAATAAATGATATGATGGATAAATTCCAGTACCTGAAGGGGGCTTACGGGAAAGATGGGGCAGGACTGCTTACAGGACAGGACAAAGGGGAATGGGTTCAAACTGAAAGAGAGCAGGCTTAGAATAGTTTAGATATTGGGAAAAAATTAGATATTAGGGAAAAATTCTTTCCTTCGAGGGTGGTGAGGCCCTGGCACAGGTTGTCCATAGAAGCTGTGGATGCCACATCCCTGGAAGTGTCCAAGGCCAGGTTGGATGGAGCGCTGAGCAACCTGGCCTAGTGGAAGGTGTCCCTGCCCAGGGCAGGGGGGTTTGGAAGGGGATGATCTTCAAGGTTCCTTACAACCTAAACCATTCTGTGATTTGAAGCTGAGCATAAAAGGTATAGGGCTCAGGGTTCTCAATTCTTGGTGTGTATGTATACTTTGTAATTCAAAAAGGAAGTTTTAGTTTAATACAAGACTGTGGTATGGAAGAGGTTTTGAGGAAAAGAAGATTTATTTTTGGTGTGTTTAAAATGAGTAGCAGATCAAAAATTTTAAAACCTTGGCAGTTTATGAGGTATTTAGAAGTGGCATTGCTTTTCATGCATGCATAAAGTATTAATGTGTGCTAAATAGACTAGATAGAATTGGAAAGAGATAAGTTTAGTTTTCCAGTTTTACGTGCTTTGCATGTAATTTGCCCATTCTGCTCTAATGAACTTTTGCCCTAAGTAAGGCAAATAACTGAAATTCCAGATAACAGGTCAGGAGGGACATGGTAGTTCTATACAGTCTGCAATGCTTCAAGTTGAAGAAACTGTGGGAAGAAGGCCAGAAACGATTCAATGGCATTTTAGCAACACACCATTTCAGCAATTGTATGCATTGATGTCTCATAATAAGTGCACGGGGTAAAAGAATTGTTTTATACAGAGCAGAGCTGTGTTCAGGGTTAGACTGCTAAATTACTTTTTTGGGGATCTGTGCTCTGGCTTGCTGTGAGGTTGGGTCAGTAAGTTTGTGTTCTGCCCACAGATGCTGCCCACTGCCCATGGCTTTCAGGGATGTGAATGCAAGGAGACATATTGGACTCCAGCAACTCTCATCCTTGGCATCGACTGGAAGAGCATTTCTGGGGCCAATGAAATCTCATAAATTCATTGTGGATGAAACCACCAACCAATGCACATTGATTTGTTCTGCTGTTAGACTGATTGAAAGTTTGGATTTGACTAGTGCTGCTGGACAGCTTCTTAATGAAACCATTCAGGCACAGAACAAGGAGTTTAGGACTGGGATGAGTACCCTGTTGTTCCTCGTTGGTGCGTGGAGCAGTGCCGTGGTGGAGTGCCTCCAGCAGAATGTTCCTGTTTCAGCAATAGTGTCTGTGATGTCTGAGGGGTTGAACTCTTGCTGTGAGAGAGTCCAGTGTCTCCAAATATCAATACATGATGTAAAAAAAGAGCTGTGTTCTAGCAGAGTTAGGCCAAACGCTTTTGAATGCAAAGCTTGCCAAGTTGGATGTGACAGTCTTCTAAATCCTCAGGGTTTGCTGTATTTTCAGAAACGTATTTCTGAACCAGAAGTAATTTCAATAAGTTGTTGTTCCCATCAAGGAGATGATTGTCATTTTAACAAGGCCCTGGTTTCACCCTTGGTTGGCTTTGGTTCAGCAGCTTCTCTTGTCAAACCAGAGGGTGACAGAAGTTCATCTGTGATTTCTGGAAGTGGTGTTATTTCATCCAGCTGTATCAAACAGAAGTTAACCCACAGCAGACACTTCAGCACTTTAGGAAAAAGCCATTTTTCAGGTCAACAAGGTAATTTTCAGGAATACCTTTTGAAACCATCAGCAGATCCGTGTGAATGCTCTGATTTAGGACACCTGGCAATGGCTCTGAGTCATGGAAATCAGACTGGTGTGAAACTGCTCCAGAGCATTGCTGAGTATCAGCAAGAGAGAGCAGAGTGCAGGGGCTCTTCCCAGCTTAATATCACAGGGATTGTGACATGCTCTTTGCTGGGCCTGCCTGAAAGCTATTCCTGTGTCTCCCAGGGCTTTGTCACATTAGTGTCACCAGAACAAGCCAAAGTCATCAAACACTTTAAGGACAAATCCCTCCGGATCCTGCTGGTGGATGGTGACCTAACGGAGCAGTATCGTCACTTAGGTTTTAACAGACCACATAACATAAGGACCATATTGGAGCATCCTAACCTAGAGGGAGGCAGGGCAGGAGACACATGGCTAAGCAGAATGTTAGATATTCTAGTGAGTTTTGAAGTAAACCTAGTTTTGGTCAAAGGAAGCGTGTGCAGAAACTTACTGGACAGATGCACCGCAAGCAGGATACTGGTAATCGGTCCTGTGCCTCGGGATGTGTTGTGTGCCTTTGGGGAGGTCACTGGTGCCCAGCCAGTGACGTACCTGAGCCAGCTGAACCCTTCCTGTGCTGGGAACGGGGCCCAGGCAGAGCTGTGGGAGGCCAGCGATGGGCGTGCGATGGACCTGGGTGAGCTTGTGCCGGTCCGGATCAACGTGCGAGGCATCCCCCTGCTCACGGCCGTGCTCACCACTGCTGTGGCTTCCAAGGTGCAGCTCCTTGAGGACCAGTTCTGGACTTCAGTGTATCGACTCCACCATGCTTTAAAAGATGGGAAGGTTTTTCCTGGGGGTGGTGCAGTGGAGCTCTTGTGCCTCAGCCACATCCAGGTGCTCACCGAGCAGCCTGTGCGACCAGCAAAGGCTGGGAAAGAGTTTCCCAGTCCTTGGCTGGCCACACCTGTGGCAGAGTATAAATCCCTTGTGCTCCAAGCACTAGCAAGTGGCTGGAAGAGGTACCTTTCCGTGGTCATGTGTAACATGGCAAAGGCTCCGTCGGAGTTGGAAGCGCGTGCATTAGTGGATCATCACCTCAAGAAAGCAGTGGATTGTGGCTCTCCCTCAGCATATATATTGGAATTGTTTAGAAGAGGTGATGTGCTTGGGGGTGGCTCTGGTCCCTTTGCTGACCACGGCGAGGGTTTAAAGGTTTACGATAACGTTGCAGCCAAGACAGAGGCGTGGAGGAGAGCCCTGGACTTGGTGCTGCTGGTGCTTCAGACTGATGCCGAAATTATCACAGGCCCCAGAAGGAATGAGCTGTTGAACTCGCCTGTGTCAAGTGAATTTATGTTCTTATAGGGCTTTGCAGTCCCTGAGTCAGCGGGAGAAGTCCAGGTTCAACTTAACATGTCCTCCTAATTTATAAAGCAAACACTGAGATGTGATTATGACTTTAGAGCGTAACAGCAGAAATCAGAATGAGAGACAGTCACAAGGTAATTTCTTGTTTCTAGAAATGGGAATTAAATAACAAAAATCAGTTATGAGCTTACCTCTAACTCCAGCCTACTAATATTGTCTGTATAGAAGTCTCCTAGTGTCTTCTAAAGAAAGGTAGGGACTTCTTACATGACATTGGTGTGCTTGTGTTAAATTAAAGAATATATATAATGTAATTAATTATGAATTAATACCTTTTTCTTAATTTCTGTACATTGCAAGCATAAGAGTTAAACTTGAGTGTTACATTTTACACTAAGAGATCATATTAATAGATTCTATTTTTGTATATTTATATGGTCCATATATCTCCTATTTTCCAATATATATCCATTGGAATTTCTCTGGATTTGACAAATTCATGCTGAATCCTTCCTTTTGGTATTAGAGACTGGGTGTATCTCCACAAAATTTTCAATTTTACATCACGAACTGGATTTTTGGGTTGTTTCCTTGGGGTCTTTCAGTTATCTTTGTAGAGAGGAAAATGATCTATGTTTTAGGTGTTGGCTAAAAACCGTAAACAGGTCTATCGTGATTGAGGCAAGGCATTTTTACTGTGTTACAGCACTCATAATTTGGAAGCAGAGCCCTGAAGAACTGGCACTTCATTGCAAGAAAGAGGTGTGTAACTATGGAGATTTTTTTTTTCTGACCTTGGCATTCTGAATCATACTTAAAGTGAAATGTCTCAGTTCTGGTGAAAACAGAACAGAAAACAAATGGAAATGGTGATGTTAAAGTGTATTCTTGCTTTCAGGAACTTTCTCATTAAACTGCTGATGGCTGGCATACAGATGATGGAATTCACCCTCAAATAAGGTTTAAATATATCTAGAGATGAGTATGTATATTAAAGTAGTGTTATATCTTTGACCTGAAACAGCACATCTTTTGGTTTTCTATCAAACTCCAGAATTCAGTGGATTTTGGGAAAATCTCATCAGTACTGTAGGGGTTTATAATTTTAATTTGGAACAGTATTTCCTAGCAGCATAGGGGTCTAGTTATATGGAAGTTTTGATCAGCCTGCAATTACATTTTCATTATTAATCAGTTGGCACATTGATGTTTAACTGCTTGGTGTGCTGAGACACGAGAGAGAAAGAGTCTGGTAGATCAAAAGAGGCAAAAGGAGCTAGTGGCTGTTAAGTGAGAATGAAGTGGAAACACAGCATATAAATAAATATGAACAGACTCTGTGCTCTGCAAGGGTTTGCAGCTCATGTTTGGCTTTATACTGGGGTTTTTTTGAACCTCCCGTACTGAGAATTGCATAACCCCAGTTCCCAAGAAAAGATCCACTTGCACTTTATTTGAATAATAGAGTTAAGTGTGTTGTGGAAAAACTGCAGACATGAATTGTATTGAGGTGGTCCAAACATCTATTTATGGGGCTCTTAGACACTGAGAGCTGACGCACCAAGTGTTGAGAAAGTCCAACATGATGTAATTTTTCCAATCAGGCTTGTAAAAAGCACATAATGATATATTTAAATGCTATGATGCCGAAACCAGGACAAGGGGTTTTCTAAAAAGCTGTCAGACATGATATTTTGATTAATTAACACTTGCTTATCTACAGGCCCACGAAATGGAACATTTTATAAACTGGCTAGATGTTGTATCCTGGGTTACTTAAAATTACTTCTCCTCAAGGCATCCTCTTCTGCAATTTGGAGTACGATATACTAGTGCAGTATAGTTCCCCAGCCTCAAATCTCCTAAACCTCTTTGCAACATGGAAGGAGATCCTGTGTGTGTCTGCCGTGGCACTCGGCGCTGGGAATGATTTCAACATCTGCCACGGGCGATTCCGGCTTCTGCCAGGCAGAGGCTCCTCCTCTGTGCACAAAGGCTGTTTGTGTAGAGCGTGATGTGATGGCAGGGCTACACTTTTACATGTGATGTGCTTGGGAAATTGGGAAATGGCAGGGATTTCAGGGAAAGGATCGTCCCAAGGCATTGGCAGCATCTCACCCCCTGCTGAAACCAAGTCCTGGTCAGGTGCCTTGTTTCTCCCTTGCATTCCAGTGTCATCATTTCCAGCTCACTCCTCCTGTTTATGGCTGATGATATTTTCTCTTTATAAGGCCAATTTTTTAGGTCTCTGCTCCTTGAGGATTTCCTGAAATGTGGTGGAGGGCTTAATCATGGCAATAAGACCCTTGTGCCAAGCTGGGCCAGCCTAGGGGGCACAGCCTGCCTTCATATCCTGGCTTTATAAGGACTGATAGCCTGGTGATCAGTGGTTGTCAAGAGGCACCTGATAGTTTGCCTACTTCAAGTATACTGAAAATTGTGAGCTGGAAAATGTAGGAGACAGTGGTCCCCAGGTAGACAAAGGAATGACTGGGGGAGACTGGGGGCTGGGAAGGTTAACGTAGTTATGGAGCAGGGAGGGCTGGAGGAGAAATCTTGAACTCACAAGAGAGTTGGGAGAGTCAAGATGGTTTATTTGTACTGACCTCCTGCTGATATCCCAGGCCAGAGCTGCTGGAGAGGCTGGGAGAACATTTTCCTTTTTCTTAGTGGGAAGAGGGGTGGAGAGGGGAATCTAATCTAGGAGAAAAGTTACGGAGTGACAAGAGATTTTCAGCTCTGCTCCGAAGGACAACTGGCAGACCTGAGTCATCCCATCAGTTACATCATCAGCAAAAGATCATTCTTACAGCACCAAGACCTTCTTCCATGAAAAGCAGGTTGGCTTCCCATAACCAACTCAGGCAGGACATCTCTAGAGGAGTTGAAACAACTCTACCAGGTATCAAGTGAATTAAATGTATTTTTATGTGGTTTTTTTTTTAATCTTTTTTTTGTGTTTAAACTCTAGAATGCCCTGCTACATAGCAGTGCCATACTCAAATGTCACTGAGCTGCTCCTTCTGGAACCTGAACTGCTGTGCACTACAGGCATTTCTGGGAGTAACAGAGACTCACTACAAGCCTTACAATTTGCATAAGGCAAACTGACAGGGAGTCTTAAATTGCTGTTTTTCTACAGCTGCTGTAAAACAGGGATCTAGTACTGACCAGCTGTAAGTGTGGTCTGTTTTTTTAATCAGAACCACGGGCTTCATGGGGTATTCTTTACTTTTGGAAGGACCAGGTTGTGACTGTGTTCAGAAGTGTGGCACGGTGATACGTTTGCTTTGTCCCTTGTGCGACTTCTTTGTGTTAATTCTTTCCCTGGGGAGTTAAGCTGGATTTTTAGCTTTTGGTAGCTTCCAGAAAGGCCTTTTCCAACCTTAAGGATTCCATGATTCTATGATTCTGTGAATGTGACCATCCATGCTGCTGTTTCTACAGCTCTTTTTCCACAGCCACTTGTAGAAGTGTCACTTACTCATAGCACTTTAAGACAGAGGGAGTATATTCCAGTTTTATTCCTCTCTCTCCATAGATCAGCAATCCTTTTGAGACAATTCCACACCAGCACAGTTAGAGCATGGTTTGTATGACCTAATTTGGAAAAGTCAAAAAATTGGACTAAATTCTGCCACTTTCCACCAGCATTGCTGCTTTAATTAACCATTTATTGCAAAGGTGCAGGACCAAGATCTTTTTCTTTCAAGGTGGTGTGTTAACCACGAGTAGATCTGCAGTCTTAAAGGGCTTTTTCTTTGTAGATAATGTTCCTCCAAGAACTAATGTCCACAGGGATGCCTTCAGCACAGTTGAAGGGAGAGAACAGCTCAGGTACGTGCACAAACTAGAGACTGGGTTTGATACTGAATGGTGGAAGGAAGAAAAGAACACATTTCTCTGCTTTGGCTTCCTACTCGTTGATTCTGCTGGTAATGTCCATTTCTTTAGGTATTTGAAAAACACCCCTAGTGGTGTCTTGAGCTGCATTTCAGTGATGGTTTGCTGTGAGTGCTGGGATTCAGTTCGTTGCATTATGTTCCTGAAAACTTTGTAGGGACAAGGATGGTTTGGGACAGAAATGCTTCCCTGAGTGGAGGGAAATAATAATTCCCCAACTTCTCCTCCCACATCAAGCCCCTGATGATCCTTGGGGAGTGGCTTTTTGTCACATTTAATCCAAGCCTGGGCTCCCCAGCACCATCCCCAGCAGCCACGTGTTCCCGTGGTGAGCCATGTTTGGGAGGAATCCTTGAGTGCTTATCAGAGGGGTGGAAAGAAGGGCTGGGCCAGGATCATGCACAGATGGTGAAAGAGCTCCTGGGAAGGGGGGGGGAAATCGAGGCCTGTATTTTGTTTCCCTGCCTAGCAGAGATTCAAAACAAAGAGCTGTTTAGATGAAAAGGAATTCTTTCCTTGGGGACCAAGTGCTACTCCAAACAATAGGATTATTTTTTCATTAATGCAAGAGCAGTAAAGATAGCATGCAGTTTTTATTTAGAAGTAATGGGAAGACCAGCCCCTGACTGTCTTTTATTCCAGCTCAAGTCAGTAGGATGGGGGTTAGTGTTGTTCACAACTTTTGTCTGCCGTGTTGTGAGACCAAATATTTAACCAGCATTGCAGATTTGGAGAGGTGACTAAAAATAACACGGTTGGTGAACTTATTTGTTCCCAAGGTGTGATCTGAGTCACTGCTTTTACTGACTACACTTAAAACAAAAACAAACAACAGAACCCCCCTGTTTGTTCATACTGGAGAACCAGAAGAACTCCAGAGGAATACCTGTCTATAATTAGTAAATCCTAATTTTTTTTTTGAAGAACAGCAATCCCTCCAGTAAACTGAAAGGAATTTTGCCTTGTTTTGGGTATTAATTCCTGTATTCCACTTGCTACTCCCTGCATTTGCAGTTCTGTCTGTGGGCTCCAGCTCAAAGATCCGCCTATACCATGCACATACTGTTTTAGGGGAAGTGAACACAATTCCACGTGCAAAATTCCATATCAGTATAATGTCTTTGATTCCCTACAGTGATGAAAATTAGACTAGTACCCCTGCAGCAATACTAATATATTGATTAGATCAGTTTAATTAACTGGCAAAGTCCTCCTATGTGACATTATTCCAGTTCCCTGAGTATGCCTTGCTCAAGGTGAAGGGACAGTTAGTGTTCAGAACTTCACTTCTCACTCTCTTCATCTCTCAGTTTATGTAAACACTGTTTAAATAACCATCCCAATTGTGTCATCCAAATCCTGGTTCAGGGGTACTTGCTTTCTGGAGCTGTTTAGCTGAGTGCTGCCAGAGGCCAGGAAACTCTGATATAATTGGCAATAAGAGAGCTTTACTGGAAAGGAAGCCCAAATGTATCGTTGTTTATCTGAAGTACGGAGCAGTTAACTTGAAAAATGGTTTTGTGTGTGACCCTGCCTATGCAGTTATTCTGTTTGACATCCCAAATACAAGAGCAGTGCTGTAGATAGGCTCTACAGAATTGCCAGATATCTGGTCAGTAATTGCTATACATGGAGTGGGTTACTGTGGGTAGGATGGGAATGACTCTCAAATCTCAGTTCCAGTGGTGGATGGTCAGGACTGTTTTCCAAGAGAACTTGAGGAAGAATCCTCCAACCTCCCAGATTCCAGTCACGACCATTCATAGCACCAGTGAAACTGTGGAAGAAAAGAGGCTTTTCAAGGCCAGAAGAAGCTGGAGGAAATCCAGTGCCTCTTGTTTGTTTGAGTCTCATTATTAAACAGACTTATTAAACTGCTGAAGAAAGGTCTTCCAAAAATACAGGAGCTAGTTTAAAAGTATGTGACTTGTCTGGGCCAAGGGGTGCTGTTTGAATTAGCTGTGTTTGCTCACCTGTAAAACAGGACTGCAGACTGCCCTACAACAGGACACTTGGCATTTACCGCTCGGCCATGGTGAGAGGAGCCACTGTACAAATAGGATGTTCCATTCCCTGCCCTCCCTCAAACACTCGTGTCCATCTCAGATAACAAGCTGAAATAGGGTTTGTTATGAATTGGATTTTCTTTTAAAAGGCCAGTCAAGCTGTTTTTGTTCTGGTTTATGTGTTGCTATGAGCCACTACCACACATTCAGTTCTTCAGTGAGAATTCACAGATGCTTTTGCTGCTGCGCATGTGTGGCAAGATGTTATTTTGCTGATATGTTGTTCTCAGGAGACCGAAGGGGAAGGGGAAATCATACTTTGGTTATGAATTAATACAGGAACCAAT